GGCAAAGGACATTGATATGGCGATTGGATGTAGGTTTTTTGACATTATTTATTTAGTGTCCTACCTGCCTAAATCTTCTGACTTTGGTAGGTAGTGTTAATAGGAAGAATGGGGAGGAATGATGTGTCACCCAGCCCCTTGTGTGCTGGGTGATATTGGTGACCTTTCTTCCCTCATCCCTGTACCAGATCCCATGCCAGTTATCTGCAAATAGCTGTGTAACCTCATCTGCCCACCACAGGATGGGTTGAAGATTAATGAGATAACACATGGGAGGGTCTTGAGTTTCTTAGGAGAACAGACTGATGACAATAGAAAATGTCACTCAATGTGTTATTGAAAACAAGATTTATTTCTCCCTCTCTCTGCCCTGTAATCAGACAATTGTTCAAAGCCTTAAATTAGTAAATGGTCCTTTCCCTAGTTCCTGGGAAGCAAACATCATTTTAAAGCTTCTAGAACTTAAGTAACAATAAAAGCAGCGTCAAAAGCATAAGCCGCAATCACAGTTTTGTTTTGTTTTGTTTTGTTTTTTCCTACTTCTTTCACTGAGCAGGGCAGCATTTGAACATAAATGACTCAGCCACAGCTTTACAGAGAAGTGAGGATGGGGATTTCCCATTAATGGTCAGCAGAAAGACTCTTGGATTTGGGACAAATCCAGGACGGGTTAGGAGAGAGAGAACACGGTGTAACTAATGTAAGTAACACGATGTCATCTTTATTGGAAGCAGAGGGCTGCAGGGAGGAAGACCATGGCGTGGGCATCTGTGTCTTCCGGCTCTGTGACCTTGAGCAAACTACTTAGCCTCTTTGAGCCTCACTCTCCTTATCTGTAACGTCAGAATAATAATGCTTCCTCACTAGGAGACTTCAACGAGATAGATTGATGTAAGGTGCTGTGAACGCTGTATTAAAAGTCTAATAAATGGTCCCTTACTAGGATTACTAGTATTTAATATATGCTTACTACGAAGACAGCAACCAAAACTACTCACTGCATGAAAGTCCCTTTATTTGCTCGACTTTCAAGAGTTTCATTAACATAATAGTTGTTATTAGGAAAGGGGTAGTTCTAAGATACTTGAGAAAGCTTAAATATTATAAAAAATATTTCTCCCCGCAATTCTGGTTTGCCTATTTTTTAAAAACAATTTTTGATATTCTCAAATGTCTGAAAAGGATTTGTTAAAAAGGAGGATTCATCAGTGTCATTTCTGATAACAATCGTTATAGGTTCTGAATATCTGGGGCATCAGTGTCATTTTCAGGATTTTTGTGAAAACAAAAATATAGTGAAATGTTCAGACTGTTCTCTTATTGGCCACAAGGACTTGGCCCTCTGACGACAGATCCTTAGTCAGCCCTTTGCTGGACGAGGGAAGGAAAACAGGACTTTCTGCAGAAAAATCGCCTGTGTCTCACTCTCTGAATATCTAATACGGGCAACTTAGCTTTCCCTATCCCTTCTCTGCCCCACAGTCAGGCTTGCAAGTTTTAAATAATCAATAACTGGTTTTTTTTTTTCTTTCTTAAAATATAACCAGCCGTGCCTGCTTTTATGGGGATTAGGACCCTGCTAGGGTCTGTAAGAGGAGCGGTCTGCACAGATGCATGCGCCCCGCAATCTGAGCCCTCGTGACCTTAGGCCGTGGTATCACTACTGCTGTTCTTGGTGGCTAACCATGAAACAGAAGCTATTCTGGAGTTCACCGAGGTACAAGCCAAATTATTTGGGGCTTACCATCATCTGGCTGAGGAGGTAGGAAATAAAGCCGAGGCCCCTCCTTTTAAGGCAAGCATGGGGTAGTATGTCGGGATAGGACCTTATTTTTCCTAAGGCTCAGCCAGATTGTCTAGCTATTTTTAGAGCACTGGCCAGTTCTGAATGTTGATTCAATCATGGGCATGAGTCCCATTTTAACTTCCCAGGACAGCCAAGAGCAAGGCTAGCTGCAGGAGCCCATCTCCTCTCCCTGCAGGCATCCTGCCACCCTTCTCTGCAAAGGTGAGTCCTGGTGGCATTTCGCCATCACTGTTGTCCTGGCCCTGCTGCTCAGCAGAGCTGGAGAGCCCGAGCTGGGACTTCAGGCGAAATGGAAAAAGGGGTAGAGTGGGAGCCAATGTTTTACTAAAGGCAGTTACTTATTTACAATTTCGTGAAGCACATTTTATTAGACAGGATAAGACTGTCTCCAGCAGGTTAAGTAATTTGGAAGCACAGAGTGGTTAAGAAGCTCACCCAAATCACACAGCTGGTAAATGGCTGACCTACGACTTGGAGTTCCTCTCTCACCCAAAGCACGCATTCATTCTAACATGCGGTCTTTTCCAACTTTGCCTGGTCCTTAGTGCCATGGAGGCACTTATTAAAACCCCTTTCCCCCCGCCTCACGCCATAGCCATGGACTTGGGCTCTCCATGGGGAGGGGCCAGGTGTCCCTATTTTTAACAAGCACTCCCATGTGATGCTCAGCAAATTTGGCAAAAAAGAGCTCCAGAAGCATCGCTTTCAAACTTGAGTGAACATTGGAATCATGGGGGAGCTTGTTAAAATGCAGATTCTTCTGCCTCGCTCTCAAAGATACTGAAATAAGCCATCTGGGCCAGGGCCCAGGGATCTGCATTTTTGCAACCATTTCCAATTTATTCTGTTGCCAGTGGGCAGAGGACTTTGAGAAACATTGACCTAATAATATACGAGAGAGAGAGAGAGAGAGAGAGAGATGGATGGATGCTTAAGTAATAAAACTGTTAATTCTGGAAAGGACTTGTTTTACAACCGTCTAAGTCAAATTATATCATTTGGATTAAAGGAAGAATCTCTGCAAACATGGTGACAAATGGTTATACCAAGACACAAGGTGATGCCCCTCTACAACATGAACGGCTAATATATTAGTAACAGAAAGGGGAGTGGACACTCTTGTCCACACCAGCCCCCTAATATCTTATCTTTCCAGTGTTTCCTGTGCTCAGCTTCCAGCTGGAATGTTCTTTTCTCTTTGCCCATCTTCGCTAGTTAAAATCTCTGTCTCTTTAAGCCCCAGCTCAAAAGACACATCCTCCACAAAGTTTTCTCCCAGTTCTCTCTCATTCTCTTCTTAGTTCCTATCGTTTGGACCTGTACTCAGGTACCTATCCCATCTTACTTTGCTGTTCCCATTCCTTGTGTACCTCTCCTTGGGCCAGGATCCTGACTACTTCCTTTTTGATTTCCCACACCACCCAGTGAAGGCCTTTTGCACAGGAAGGGGGGACCAGATAAAACCATCACCACCACCACCTCACGTAGAGAACACTCACTGCATGAGGGTACTGTTCTCAGGGCTGTCACAAGTCACTTATATTAGAAATACTCCTATTTTGAAGACTCAGGACACAGAGCACTGAGAGGTGGTTTGTGGAAAGGTCTTCTCAGAAGCAATAACTCTATAGGGGACTGGAGTCATGCCTGTAAGGAGATCTGAGCTCTGTGTGTTAAAGGAAACCACACTTTAAAACATTGTGACCTCCTGACTTAGTGTGTCAGGGTCATCTGGAGGGCTTGCCCAAGCACAGAATGCCCAGCCCCATCCCCCGAGTTTCTGATTCAGGAGGTCTGGAGGAGGATCTGAGAATCTGCATTCCTAACAGGTTCCCAGGTGATTCTGATGCTGCTTGTCTGGGGACCATACTTTGAGAACCATTGGTCTAGTTCAATGTTTCTGATGCTGAACAATTCAAGGGCAAGGCATTGGTCATTTTGTTCTGAGCTTCTGGGGAGGTAAGGAAAAAGAGTAAAGCCACACAAAGGCCAGGAAAGTATAAGTCCTGTTTAAGGGTATGACTGTAGGAGCTTTCACCCATGAGGGTGTAGACAGATGGTCAACCCTCCAAAGAGAGGGAAACCCCCATGTGTGAAGTTACAAAGTTGCTAAATTACTAAATCACTAGGAGTTTTCAGCCTGAGGGCTTGTACACTACCGTCTTTTTTGCTCCCAGATCTTACTGACAGACCTTAAGTGGAGTATGGTGAAGATTGGGTATAAAATAAAGCGAATGTTTTTCTTGGGAAAGACAGCCCAGCAGGACGTTCACTCACTCACAGGACCTCATATCATATTTGCAGGGGGATCGTAATGATTATATAACATAACGTAATGTAATAATACCGAATAATGATAAAGCTCTTTAGGTCCAAAAACTCTTCTTAAAAAAGTGCACCTATTACATTGAGTGAGTAGTAAGAATTGCTTAAGGTCCAGGGGACCTTGTCCTAATTTTCCAAAGAAATACATTGCTCAGGGACTTTGTTTCTTAGTTTTTAAAAAGATTTAACACTTCACATTGTTTTAACGGGGATGTCATCTGAAGAAATCACTCTCATTCAGTGATGAAATAGTTGAGATAAATTACACATTAGAAATAAAGTCCTCTGAGTTGCTTTGGAGGAAATTTCAACATACATTCAAAGTATTTTACCAAGGCACTGAAAAGACAAGCCGAAAGTTCAAGGTCATGTGCTGTCAGATTTTCATACATCACTCTGCAAACCCGAGCTCTTCCTTAGGTAATTGACCGGCTCCTCGGGCGGATTATGCCAGATCTCTGCCCTGGAGCTGAGCTGTGTTTCACTGTCCTTCTGTCTCCATGCCCACCCTCCTTCCTTCTGCCTTTGCTTCGAGTCCCCACACACAGAAACAAGTCCACTGTCAGCATAGCCAACAAATCATTCCGACACACCGAAAATGTGGGCAGGGGTGATTTCTCTCATTTATTTCCCCTTCGCCTAGCTCTGCCTGATGGGCTTGGATTCCAGAGGTCCTCCCCACCCATGTGATAAGCAGAATGTGGAGCTTCACCTGCTCGCATAGACACTGCCGGCTTCAGATGACAGAAGCAGATCGCCTGCAGGGCTTCCCAAAAATTCACAAAGAAAGAAAGACAGATGGGCAAGGCAGGAACGGCCAGAGGACAATTAGAGGAGAAAGCAGCACTGGGAACAGCTCGGTACATACCTGGGGAAAAGTTGCAGGCAGGTCCCTCCTCCTCTGTGGGCCTTCTTCCCTGGCAGGCTTCGGCCCCATTGAGGTGTTTAGAGCCTGGGTTGTTATTATTATCTTTTTCAGAGCTGGCAGTGTTGGCTTGCATTTCTATGCCTTCCTGTCAGAATTCTCTCAAGGAAACAGCAGCTGGTGAGCTCAGAAATGTCAGTCAGAATCTTGGCCTAGTTTGGGGCCTTGAAGATTCTTACAGAAAGTTAAAAAGGTTTCTGGGCCAGTGTCTCCTTTGGGTTTTCCTTCTCTTGCTTCTCACCTTTTCCATCTTCTATTTTTTTTTTTTTTCATTTTTACCTCAGTAGCTAGCTACTTAAATTGCCTGCCTCTGTCTTACTGATGGTCCCCTCCTGGGTATGGCTGTGGAACTTCTTCCAGCTCAGCCTGACAGCCTGGTGCTTTTCGAAGCATTTAACTAGTACCTGTGTGCTTCTTCCTCATTTTGTCTCCTCACTTATTCCCCGTTTTCTTTCCTTTCACTCCTCTCTTTTTAATCGCTATCCTTCTAGTCACACACGGAGGAGCCATCTTTGTCTTCCTGTGTATATACCCCCTGCCCCGATGGTCTGTCATCTCCCCTGCGCTCTGTCCACGCGTCTGTCTGTCTTTCTCTTAGGTCTGTCCTCTATTGTTGCTTTAGCTCCTCTCGTGTGCTGCTTAGCTGCGACCTCGCACCCCGTCCCCCTCCCGTCCTCCTGATCCTTACCAGCCTCACCCTCTGCCTTCTCTTGTCCCCGCTCTCCAAGCGGGCCTCCTCCTTTTGTACTCCCCAGCCCTCTGCCCACCCCCAGTGCACTCTCCACCTGTTTGTGTCTTTTAAGGGCCTTGGTCATGTCCATGCCTTCTGTCCACCTCAATCACCACAGTGACGGGCCTCTGAAAGCTGTTGAATTACACCTCTTCAGCTGTCCCATGGCAAGGAGAAATGTCCTTTGCCAAATCCCTTTTCAGATAGGCAAACCTATATTAATGAAATGAGGCATGTATTATTTTAAAGAGTGAGAACGTTAATTTTTTTTTTTTCAAGTGAATGAATCCCCATCTTTTATACTGGGTTTCTTTTAGGCTATGTCAATATATACCACTTCAGATATAGTCATTTCGGTTTACCTGTAACTTGTTTTGGCCATTTTTCAGATGGGAGGGTGGCTGCAGTGAAGTTATAGAAAATACAGCTAGTTTGGGGCTTGACTAGATTCAATAGCATATATTTAGTGAGTGTCTGCCAATCTTGGTGTACCATGCTGAACACTGGAAATGCAAAGACGTGTCCATGTTCCTTTCCTTGAGAGACTTAAATAGGTTCTTTCAGAACTAGAACCTATATGTAGAAAAATATACCAAAAAAAAGAGAATATGATAATTGCAAAGTTATAGTACAGAAAATAAGTACAATTAGCATTCAGAAGCAGAAATTGTTAAGTAGTGAACCAGGGAGTGACAGCTTAATGGAAGACATTGGGTTTCAGCGGTCACTGAGGCTGGGGAGGCCTTGCATACCTGGAGGGGTGAGGGAAGGCCGTTTCTAGATGGGGGAACAGCGAGAGCAAAGGCATGGAAGCTGGAATGTCCAGAGTGTTCCAGAAATACTAATTAACCTGTGGCTGGACCCAGTGCTTTGTAGAGGGGTCACCCTGGGGAAGGCCTTGGGCACAAAGCAGCCATTTTGAGAAAATACACTCGTAGTAGGAAATAATCAGTTTTTTTTTTTTTTTTTAAAGAATCTTTTAGACCACACATTTATAGGTAACCTAATTTAAAAAGAGTAATGCTATGTTGGTATGATTTCTACAAGTTAAATAAATATAAATTTGGATTCTTTGATCATCATCACCTGGAAAGCCATGGTCTGAAATCAGTTGCTATTGAATATAGAGAGAAATGAAGATCTCTCTCCAATCCCAGTATTAAAATTCTCTTTCTTATTTAATTTTGGCGTTCATTACGAAGGTCTGCTGTTAAAACTGCTCATCCCACTCATTCAGTCTGTCTTATTCATGTAGCTTGTCCCAAACGCTAGTCAACAGCATCTTTCCTCTTGCGGAAGGCTCAGTCCCAACATGGCTGGGTTAAGTATTTGTTTTAGGTCTATATACACTTTACCATTATACTGCTTTATTTGTTTGTTTGTTTATTTTTATTTTATTTTTTAAAGATTTTATTTATTTATTTGAGAGAGAGAGAGTGAGCTCACGAGCTAGGGGGAGGGTCAGAGGGAGAGGGAAAAACAAACTCCCCACTGAGCAGGGAGCCCGATGCGGGGCTCGATCCCAGGACCCTGGGATCACCACCGGGGCCAAAGGCAGATGCTTAACTGATTGAGCCACCCAGGCACCTCACCATTATACCGTTTTAAGATTTGTTTTACAATTTTGTGTAAGTCTTTTTTTTTTTTTTTTAAAGATTTTTATTTTATTTGTTTGAGAGAGAGAGTGAGAAAGAAAGCACAAGAGTGGGTAGGGTCAGAGGGAGAAGCAGACTCCCCGCTTAGCAGGAAGCTCGATGCGGGATGTGGTCCCAGGACTCCGGGATCATGACCTGAGCCAAAGGCAGTCGCTTAACCAACTGAGCCACCCAGGCGCCCGTGTGTGTAAGTCTTGAATTCACAGGACTATAAACTCCTGGAAGTCTGGTTTATATTCCTTTTTATTTCTTCCCTTGTCTTTAGTATAAGGCACACAGTGGGCTCCTAATAAATGTTTGTTAAGTAAACCACATAAAGAGGCTTGATAAAATTCCCACAACAAAGTATAAACCCACCAGCCACCCCACTGATAGGAAGACAAACAACTTTTTAATGTTTTATCACTCCCTTAGTTCTTCTGAGATTTATCTAGGGTCAAGGAGGGAAGTGATCTTAATTTAATGGCTTACCTGTATATAGAGTTATATTATTCATTTTCTTTCTTTTTTTTTAAGTTTTTATTTATTTATTTCTTTGAGAGAGAGAGATCAAGAAAGAGAGAGCACTAGCAGGGTGAGGGGCAGAGGGGCAAGCAGACTCCCCATTGAGCAGGGAGCCAGATGTGGGGCTCTATCCCGGGACGCTGGGATCATGACCTGAGCTGAAGGCAGATGCTTAACCGACTGAGCCACCCAGGTGACCCTATCCTTTACATTTTCAAGTCACATTTTTGTGAGCCTCAAAGACTGTTTGAGGTCAGAAGTACAGAGCAGTTAGGGGATTTGCTGAGGGCTAAGTGGCTAATTATTGAAAAAACTGGGATGAAACCCAAGTCCTCAAACTCCTAGTCAATCCACCCCCCCTTTCTAAATCTTAGCACATTTTAGGAATTCTGATTTCTCTGACAAAGAGCTACTTTGTTTCCTTAAAGTCTCTGGTAAACCGGGTCGGTTTTTAACCAGGCAAAGTGATGAGTGAAGTAGAGGCTGAATTGAGGGCTGGGGAGGGTCTTTTCCTCAGATCTTTCCTAATGAGACGCCCTTCCCTGTGGAAATCTCCAGAAGCCAGGAAAAGGGTAAAATTAGAGCTGGTCTGAGCAAGATTGTATTCAAGGTTAATCTTCAAGATCATCTCACTTAGTTACCTCATTCAATACTTGAGGAGACCAAGGCTCGTTAGCAGAGACTTGCCCTCTGTCACAGAATGAGCACCTCCTGAGCCCAGGTCAGTGTGCTTTGTATCGCATTCTAATTACTTCCTGTTTGGTAAGGAGTCCCCCTCCCCCACCGCCACCTCCAGGCGACACTGGGCCAGGGCAACGGTGGTGGAGGCAATTCTCAGCCTGACCTGTTTATGACTGCAGGGTACCTCTTAGAGCCCCCAGTGAGCAGAAATGAGGGGCAACCCCGCAACTGTGGGGAGAAGGCAGGAAACAGAGTGTTCCGTGTTAAACATGGGTCTCATGCTTTGTAGTGGGCTCAGCTACCGAATTTCATAAGGATGATAATAATAATGAAATCATGGGATGATAATAATAAATCCTTTGAGATACTGCCAGAACTCCGTATCACAAGCTTTAGATGCCAATGGGCAGCTGGTTGGCTAAATGTGGCCCCCAGTTGTCAAAGAGAGACCCACCCCGATACGGGAGAAACAAATCAACAAGGATGTGCAGGGCACACACAGGGCAAAACCACTTGGAGGTGAAACTTTCCATTTGGACACCACTCCTTGAGGAATTAGCAATTTGAAAATGTGCTCAAAATGTCAAGTTTGACAGAGAGGCATTTATGGCCCCATGAACTGGCTTGCATGGATTGGAGATCAAATAAAGTATCAGGTGTCCAGGTTGATTATCTTGTTTTCCACCAAACAGTTGACAGTTGTGAGCATGGAGGAGGCTGGATGCCCCTGATGGTGGTGTTAGCAGTAAAGTTCTGTTAACTTTTTCATTTCCAAGATGGTTTGATTTCCTCAAAACTAGAAGGTAGGACTTTGCTGCTTTCTGTGTTATTGCTAGAAATCCCCGATTCTCACCTTAATTTCTTCATCTAAAAAACTAGATGTAATAATATCTGAACCACTTCCCTCGTTAGGTTTGTTGGGAGGATTAAATGAAGTAGCTTATTTGCTATGAGATATCTGGAAGTGGTTCTTGGTTGGTTGGCTTTAGTCATATTGGAGTGGGTACATAGTAAGCAGTGTGGTAAAGATGAGGGGCCAGTTTGAATTTCATTCAATCGTGGATGGAATCGATGGGGCCGGGGTGGGGGGTTGGGGGGGTGGGGGAGATGTTTTGAGGCATTTGTCCATAAATGTTTATTTTAAGAGGAGATCATCTAGTATAGTCTTCTCCTTTGTACTAAGAAAATAAAGTCCTGAGTCTTAGCGTGATTTTTTTCCCCCCCTCCATGTTGTTCATGGAGTAAGCATCTAGTGCTAGGGTGAGAACCCAGGATCAGAACCAAGGCCCAAGGCCCCGAACTTGGGCTCCTGATTCATAATGTTACCATCTGCCAGGTTTGTTCAAGTGAGACCAATAAATGCTTATGAGAGTTATCTGTCAATGAAATAATACTACATTAATGTAAAGTATTCTTTTAATGAACTGTGTCCCCAAAATCCTTATACTGCCGACAACTACTCTTCACCCTGGGTAATGGCAGAAATGTGGGGCCTTGGACACCAGCTGTTCCCCAGAAAGTTTTCCCAGCTGCTGCTAGGGCCAACTCTGTGGTGGAGGAGCTCAGGAGTGGGGGATTCCAAGAGTGCAGATTCCATATAGGATGGAGCCAAAGCAGGTCAAAGGCAGAACAGTTGAAGCTGTTTGGGAAACAGGTGGGAACAATGGAACATTCATTTGGTTAGATGTGCCCTTAAATCAACACGGAGGTTTATCCCAGTTGCTTGGTTTGGGAAGACAGTGCATGTAGTGTTTAAAAGCTTTCTCTTTGTTTCTTTGTTCATTTCCTTCCTTCCTTCCTTCCTTCCTTCCTCCCTTCGTTCTTTCGTTCCTTCCTTCCTTCCCTCCTTTCCTTCCTCCTTTCTCTCTCCTTTTCCTGTTCTTTATAAATTTAACATTTGAGGCTTGTCCAGAACTTAAAAGAAACTAGAAAGGTGATTTAACTCTCTTTAGCTTACAAAGAGATGTTAAATGAAAGTTGATTACCAGACATGTGATTTTCCCCCCCATTTTATAGCATGTGATTTCAATGCAGAAAAAAATTTTTTTCAGTTATATGTGAAGGACACTAAGTTTTATCAGTCCCCTGGCCTGGGATAGCTCCATGCCTTCCCACACTTTTTCTCATTT